GTTAACAAACTGAGGCCAAAATATTTAATTTAGCATTTTGAGAAGACTTTCAAGCTACACTTTGTATGATGATAAACTTAATAATTTTCCCAATGAAATATTAAGTATTTCAAATTAGCAGCGTATTATTTATTATTTATAAGTGATGAACCAAATTTCGACTACCTACAGGTATCAAACGTTGCCTTCAAACATCTAAACACAAATAAACAGTTTTATAATGTTGCAATCGGGACTGTAGTATTTCAAACTGGCATTTTTATTTATACTAAAGATGCGGACAGGATAGCCATTAAAATTGTGATTATTGCTTTTGGATTTCGAATCCTCACTTAAATCCCACTTATATAAATGGCCGTTGGAATAAATACTAGATTTAAATGAAAATTCTCCCATCAGAATTCCGGTGGAGTTCAGGTCCTTACACCATGCGCAACTGAGTTTCAATATTGATTATGTCGATTTGGGATCAACTTTTAGTGGTTGAGTTGAATAGGGATAATTTCTTGAAAATCAAGAACTGCCCTTATGATATTTCATCTATTATTTATGAAAAGTGTATAACTTTGGAAGTTGGGCAACAAACAAATGTAAGTCCCAAGTTGATAGAACCGTTTGCTAAAATTGACGAAGAAAAACAATTATACCTACCTACAAACATACTGAAGCCACTGGGTTTTCAAGTAACGTTTTTAAACGTATTTTAATTTATTAGTTTGCTGACTCTTTTCCAATTTGGCATTACTTTTAAATACTTTAAAGCGCCCAATTGTTAAAACTTATTCCAAAGCGGTAGCTACTCATAACTCAAGAATACAGGGTGTCCCACCGAGAACCACCGCGATCAATATATAAATAGGAGCAATTTGAAAATTGGACAGTTTACTGAAATCAAGAGGGTCACTCGTCTTAAATATGTATTTTCAAGATGACCATACTTCTCGGTAGTAGGTTTCCGATATACCGGAAGTACGTTTCAACTTGCTTATTTTAAATGAAACACCCTTATATAGTATTACATTTTTAATTCAACTTTGGAATTTTTAATTTGGAAACCTCTTTAGATAGGTATAAAAATTGACAAGACCTATATAAACGAGCAACAATATACAGGGCGTCTCATTGAAAATATCGACGTTGTAAGGAATTTTTAGATATAAATGAGGTCGTCATATTTTATTTTACTTAATGGTAAAAATTTTCAGAAACAGCATGCATTGCGTTCTCCGTGAACGACTCTTGCGCCTACCTAGTTCATTTTGTTGGCTGCTCTAGCACTACTTTTCGGATTCTATGGTTCATGTATGCGCACTTAATTTCTTAATTCCTTTGCTTAATTAGTAAATTATGGTTTATTAATTCGTTGTGCTACCTTCGTGTGATTTAAGATTTTTCTCTCTCCTTTCTTCTTGCTTCTATGCGATCAAATGTGCCATTTATGTTTCTGCAAGTCCTTTCGTACTAGGCTTCTTGACTTGCAAACTTTGAGTTTACATGTGTGATCTTATCCAGTCAAGAAGGCACCTGATAAGCACGAGAAAAAGACGTGCAAATATACGCTAAAATAATCAATTTTGTCAAGTCGACGTGATTACCGCGGTAATATTATGAAGCATGGAGAATTCCAATGCCAGGCCAAACGTAGGCGAATGTTTCAAAACGACAGCGAACTATTTTAAACAAAATTAATACCCATAGTGTATTTTATCTATATTAGAAAAAATATGAAAACTTAATCAGAAAATGGCCAAACTTCAGCACGAGAGGTACCTATATAAATATAATTTATTTATGTAAACTATAGATTTATAATATTTCTACCAACTAATGCTCTATATTAAAAATTTGAATTGTCAATAGTTGATTTTTACGCTCAAAACCGGAATTAGAAACTACTAAAATCACGTCTTATTGAGGACTTTTTCCATCAAAATGTCACATGCTAGAATATAACGTAATACTCACGTGATTTAAAGTGAGTTCTCAATCAGTCAGGATGGGTGCATCTTACAATAATTTGTAGATAGTATATAAGAAAATCTACTTTGAATACAACAATATACTGCAGACTAGAGTGTGAGGTCTGATAAATCCCTCATTATTGAACGAATTTATTTATTATTTAATTAATTACAAAATTATATTTTCCCCATAAATAAATAAAAACACCGATCCAGATTCTTTCTAGAAAAGACTTTAAGGAGTGTTAAGACTTTTCAGTTACGGTGTAAAAATATTCTATAATCATGTCCCAAACTTGTTGCATCTGTGAAATCGGTATAGACGAATTGATCCTCTATTATGATCCAAGATCCAACCAAACAATCTGCATACAAACTCAGAAATCGAATCAATTTGTCACTCTGGAAACATCACTTGCTTTACTGGAAGAATTGTGTGATTTTCCCTTGAAAGCTCGAGGCAGACGGCGTCGCGTCGGGCGCCATTGATCGGGAATGCCGACGAAGGTAAACTGAGTCCGAACAAAAGATGTATGAATATGAGACGTACTCGGAAATGGGTCAGTCGATCCAACCAACAACTAAGAAGAGACCGAGAGGGTCAACAGATTCCCGATTTAATGAATTTTTTTTTAGTACAAACATTGTTGAATCGTTTTTATAAAGCATACTTTTACATTTGATCTATTGACGTTTCTAATATACTTTGTCGAAAAATTGTTAAAAATTTTATAAAGGTTTTAGATATTTTATCGCGAAAGGAAGAAGGAATTTGACGTGAGTCCGTTTTGAAGCGTGAGCTCGAGTGGTGCGCTTTTTCACCTTTGTCATATGCCGTTGGAATCTTTGAATATAAAACTAACGTTAGTTTTATATTCAAAGGTTGGAATACTAGAAAATGTCAACTACATCCAAAAATACGAGAGATTCTCGTATCAAGCAAAAGCCAAAATTTGGAACAATTGTTAAAAAAAAATCTGAGCCTATTTAAAGAGATAATCGAAAACAAATAATACAGTTTCATTTTCCTTCTATAAAATGTTGTATTTCAAACCCGACGGTTCGATTTTCGGCAACCATCATCAGTATAGTGCTGTAATGTTGGCTTATTCACATAAGAAAGATGATTAGTTATGCATGAAGCGAATGCCATCAAATCCTAACAAATTTTCAACTAAAATTACGCTATAAGTTGGTACAGTACAAACGGTCGGATTTTTGGTAATAAAAACGTGCAACTCAAGTCCGCTAATTATTGCTGGACTCTATTGCTTTGCTATTTTTTATAAACATTTTTGTGGAATCTTGTATGAGACATTTGAATAAGTTGTTTGCTAGACTGAATAGTTTAAAAGAAAAAGGGCATAATTGCTTGATAGCGATGGACTGGCTCGTTTTCAAATATCTGAAAGTTGTTAAGTTTGAAATTTTCTTCAACCAATTGGAAATTTCAACCTTCACAATTAATTAAGCTACTGAACAAAATGTTCTTTTACTTTCATTTAAATTTACGTTATTTGAATTAATTAATTTTTTTTATGGTATTAAGTCCTTGTCCCAAAAAGTTTTTTTATTAGGAACTGCTTGTTTATGAACTAGATCAGTGGTGGAAAAAACAAGAAAATTGAAAGTTTGAAAAAGCGAGCTGGCTAAAACTTCACTTCTGGGAAGGTGGAAAACTTTACCTTCCTGGAAAATTATCGTTTAGGAAATCCAAAACTCGTAAAATACAGGGTGTCCAAGACAAAGATGCATTACATGCGGATTGTCGAAACCGTAAGAGATACAAAGTCGATTAAATTAGGAAAAAGTTGCCCGATCAGGGGGTCAAATAAATGGCGCTTTCAAAAGTCTTTTAATTTTTAAGGTTTTTAGCTAAACGCGATTTTTCGGACTTTCGTTTTTATTCATATATGGAGTTATTTCAAATCATATCAAAAAACAAAAAAATAATTTCTCATGGCCCCTTTTCGAGTTGTATAAGATGGTGTCTATCAAAAATTATTCCAACGTTTCGTTCCTTAGAAACCTTTATCAACTTTTGCTTTTCATATGGAGGGATGAAGAAACAATACAAAATGTATTAGATAGCTCTTTTAATGGCGAATTCAACAATATATACCACAGTACGTTTTGTATCGGTTCTTGAGTCAAAAAAATATTTTTTATAAATGATGTCTGTTTTACATGTACAACAAATATCCTGAAAGTTGTTAGCTTTCAGTCAAATGTTAGCTTTCAGTCTGGCTGTTAATTTAAGGAGTAGGTGTTATTTAGAAAACTTACTAAAACCATAATAAAACCTTTTAATGAAGAAAAGGTGATAAAAACATGGAAATTTAAATTAAGTGAACTTGCTGAAACCAGAAAAAACCAACAAAGTTGAAAGTTAGACGTCTGAAATTTGACCTATTAAGCTGTATTATTTCAGGATATTTGTTGTACATATAAAATAGGTACAATTTATCAAAAAATTTATAAAAAAAATTTTGACACTTGAACCGTAACGAATCATATTTACATGTTATACATTAGTGAATTCGCTATTAAAAAGCCAACTAATACGTTAAGTACATATCTACTTTTTTGGTCCATATGAAAAACAAAAGTTGATGATGGTTTCAAAGAAACGAAACGTTATAATAAATTTTCATAGGCACCATCTTGTAGAGCTCGAAAAGATGACATGATATAGTAATTCTTGTTTTTTGAAATAATTTGAAGTAACTTCAAAAATGAAAGAAAAAAACAGCAATCAGAAAAATTCCTTTTTTCTAAATATCTCAACAATTTAAAAAAAAAGATCTTCCAAAAACTTTGTATATGGTCTTCTAATTGCGCAACTTCTTCATAATTTAACCGACTTCGTATCTTTTACGTCTTTCGAGATCCCCATGCAATGCACCCTTATCTTGGTCACCTTGCATATTCGCTATTTTCCATATACCATATATTTTTTAATAGCATATCTGGCAAACCATTAAAGCTGATTTTTGTACTTTAAAATTATAATAGATTTTTTCTAAATTATTAGCTTACCATCATCAGCATATGTTTCTGATCCATAACCGTCTTGTAGTCCATTCGCCCAAGTTCCTTGATATTTTGCAGTGGAGGTGTTCGATTGTCTCACCCCGTATCTGCCCTTGAAACCCTGCGTCCATTCTCCCCTGTAAATCCATCTCCCACGCGTCTCAACTCCTAGTCCATGTCTTTTACCATTTTGCCACTGCCCTTCAAAACAGCTACCACTGAAAAGGTAAATTATCATCAACATCTTAATGAATACACATGTTGCTTTGCGATGGACACCGTCGATTAATCCATGAAAAAGATGTCTTAAAATTATATGGCAAATATATAGAAGTTGATTTGGATTTATTTTAAGCAAAGCACCCAGTACAAATTTCCATTCTACGTAACAATTTTTTTGCATGATGAGTGTAGGGCAAGGAATAGTCATTTTTCCTTTCAACTACATATATGATAACGTGATTGAAACTTGAAAATTGTTCAACTTATTGAAATTGTTCACTTTATAACGTCATTTCACAATACCAGTTCATTGTTTGCGAGAATGTTTGCATCTGATATAAAGGCTTTATGTCAACATATTTTTTCGGTGGAAAAGCTTGAAAAAAGGTTAAAGAACTAGCCATTCTTGAAAACATTACTTGATACGGAGTTATGCATGTTATGTTAGAAGATTTGGTTGATTGGTGGTTTGGAGAAGGAAGATAAACTTTCGACATTGTTATACATTTTAAGTTGTGAACAGCATTTGTAAAACTGCCCATGAGTACGTTTTAACCCTAACAGGTTTTAAGTTATTTGTTTTTCTTTTAGTTTAGAGCGCAATTGAATAAAAGCGACCGATAATTTGTACTGTATTCTAAATGATACGTTTTTCAAACAGCAACTTGCTCTGGTTTCCAGGATGCGAAGTTTAAAACGAGTTGTTGAGTGAAAACATCAGGTATTCTAAGCTGTTAAAAATCTGTTAAAGCTGTTAGAGATCGTGAAAATTTTAAATTGTTTTTTTGCGATAGTTGAATGATACGAAATTTTAAAGGAGAGGAAGCATTTGATAAAAAATCATCCATCTAGAGACCGATATTTACTCAGCTCGTAAAATTCATGATTTAGAAACATTTTTTTTGAAACCTTTGCCACCCATAGGGACAAGTGTCTTCTAAAGATGATAAACACCTTCTTTGAAATTTTCAAATTGCTATAGCAAGTATCTTAGGTTAGTTTCAGAAACGCAACTTTTTTAAGGAATGAGCGCCGTTGTTGTTTACTAAGTTGTTCAAAATCAGTATTATAGGCAATTTTTATGACACTTTCTGCATATCTAGACCCATTTTTTTAAAGAGGGTGAAAATTTCGAATCAGTATTTGCCTCAATTTCGAACATATTAATTTATAAAGGAGAGAGCGCAGTTGATTAAAGCCATCCATTATCAGACCGATATTTTCTCAGCCGGTAAAACTCAAGTTTCTCAAAGATTTTCATAAAACTCTCAGCATCTGTAGAAATAAGTGTCTTCTAAAAGATGATGATATTTTCAAATTGCTACTTGCTTTACTTTGAAAGGCGCGAATTTTTAAAAGATTGAGCGCATTTACGTAAAATCAGTATTTACTAAGTTTTACCACCCTTTCTGCACCTGTAAACCAAAGTTTTTTGTAGAGATGGAAAATTTCAAATTGGTTTTTGCGTTAGTTTGGAAGATGCTAATTTATAAAGTAGACTAGTTTCATGTAGAGGCAAGTCTTTTTTAAAAATAGCGGAAATTTGAATTTGATATACGCTTTAGTTTGAAAGATGGGAAATTTTAAAGGAGATAATGCAAGTGATTATATGACGCCGATATTTTCTCAGCAAGTAAAACTGTTTCTGAAAGATTTTCATCAAACTCTCAGCATCTGTAGGTACAAATGTCTTCTAAAAATGATATTTACAAATTGCTAGGTACTTGCTTTAGTTACAGACGCGAATTTTTAAAAGAATGGGCGGAGTTGAGTGAAAACATTAGCTTAGCAAATCCATATTTGCTAAGCTGTTAAAAATCAATATTCTGAGCAATTTTCATGACATCTTCTACATTTGTAGTCAAGTCTCTGTTAAAGATCGTAATATTTTAAATTGATTCTTGTGTTAATTTAAAAGATGCGAAATTTAAAAAAAAGGGCACATTTGATTAAACGCATCCATATTGGCCGATATTTTTTAAGCTGCTAAACTTTATGATTCAGGGAGATTTCTTAAACTTTTACATCTATAGAAAGAAGTGTTTTCTAAAGATTATCACATTTTCAAATTGCTACTTTCTTTAGCTTCAAAAGAGCGAATTTTTAAAAGATACAGCGTACTTGATTGAAAACATACATTTTCAAATCATATGTGCTAAGCTTTTACAAATTTCTATTATTGGCGATTTTTATGACAAAAAGTCTACTTTAAAGATGGTGGAACTTTCAAATTGGTACTTGAGTTAGTTTGAAAGTTGTTAATTTTTAGTGGAGAAAGCGCAGTTGATTAAAATCATTCATTAAGAGCGATATTCTCTCAGGCGGTAAAACTTAAGTTTCTGAAAGATTTGCATACAACTCCCAGCACCTGTATAGGCAAGAGTCCTCTAAAGATGACGACATTTTCAAATTGCTACTTGATTAAGCTTCAAGCACAGGATTTTTTAAAAGTCTGCGCACAGTTGACTGAATACATCCATTTTGAGGTCGGTATTTACTAAGTTGTTTAAAATCAGTATTATGCGGTTTTTATGGCACTTTTTGTATGTTTAAACCCGAGTCTTTTTGAAGAGAATAAAAATTGCAAATTAGAACATTTGGGACGTTAATTTGGAAGATGTTAATCTGTAAAAGAGAAAGCGCGGTCGATTAAAAACATCCACTATGAGACTGGTATTTTCTAAGCCGGTAAAACTGACAAACCTCGAAGAGCTTTAACTTCTTGCTAGCTGTATGTCGAGACAAGATAGTGAAATTTTTAAATTACTACTCGCGTTAGTTTTAGAAACCTGAATTTTTAAAAGAGAGCACATTTGAGTGAAAGCATGCATATTGAGATCGGTATTTCCTAAGTTGGTAAGTCACTACTTTGGGCGACTTTTATGAAACTTTTTGCATATGTGGTCAAATCTCGTTTAAAAATATATTAAATTTGGTGGTAAAAAAGTGGTACTTGCTTTTCTTTGAAAGATGCGATTTTTTTAGTAGCGAACGCAGTTGTTGTGTAAAAATGTGCGAAAAACTTAAGCAAATGACGCATACGCACGCAAAAGTGGAACCTATTAAAATTGCTTCTATATGATAACGTCTTCTGATCGCATAGTGTCCGATTTCAATAGATTTGAATAAAAACGACGTTTTCGAACACTTCGTGGCGCCAAAGTACACGATTCTCAAATATGAGCGCATATGCAGCCAATGCGTTTCCTACATTTTGCAGTGGTTACACAATCTGCGATAGAGTGCTGTACTAAATCAATATTTCAATTTACATTGAGTAATTTTCGTATGTTTTGTTTGGGATGAAATGGATTATTTTGAGTTATTCATTCAAATAATTTTAATCAACTGTCTTCGCCAAACATCGAAACTCCAGAACTATTCAAACTAGATAATTATCGCTATTATATGCGCAAATAAATTGAAAATGCATCTAAAATTTTTGAATATGCATTTCAAGGCAGCCGATTAACCCTTAAAAATATAAACAAAAGTTTCAATAATTTTTCATATTCGTTGATGGTCTCCAGTGACCAATGATCTCCATTACGCGCGTATGGGTATTCGCATGTACGCTATGTACGTTACAATTCCAGAGATCTGGCAACAGTGCAGTCTGGTGACGGTTTAAAATTTTGAAAATTGAGGTTTTGTAGTCAACCAGTAACAGTCACCAGTCAATATAATTTGTAGTTTGGACCAGCTTTAGTTCTTCTAGTTTACTAACTTTTTAGTAGATTGTGGTGCTATTTTCCAGGCTTTTCATTAACTGAAGGTAAGTTAACAAAATGTGATATTGGAAATTAAGACTTGTAATGAAACTACGATGCTCAAGTCAGGCCCTCCTGCCTTCTTATCACCAGTGATTGTTGCCTACATTGTATTTGGCCAAACAGTGAGGCGTTTTTTGTAAAGTCAACTGAAACCACCACACACGCTTTTTAGTACATCTTAGAAATATAGGAGCCCCAAAGTTCGTATCTATCTAATAGTGTATACTATAGTTTACCAATAATTATCTGCCACAGTGTGTCGAATACAATGGTGCGTTTATTGAGAATTTATGTTTAGTCTTAAAGTTTTAGTCAATTTTAAGTAAATGTGTGCTTCAATGGGATCTTAAGTTTCTGTTGAATAAACAGGCCCATTGAAACACACTGCACAATCTGTCTTAGAACTGAGGATAAAATTAAGTGCTGTATAAACCCACCATTAATGTATTATATGTAGAAAACTGAGAAAGATCACAATGACCGGGACATTGAGGTATTTTTTTACAAATGGTTGACAGTTCTTTGACTGCAGAAAGTTAAGTGCTTTTATTATAGCGTATCGTGTAAGTAGAGCTGTTGTTCCCAAAGGTGTCCCTTCGGGAGCCCAAGGAGTTCCTGGGATCATTCAGGGGATCCGCGCAGGGTTTATTATAAAATTATAGAATAGAATCCTTTTGAAAGTAGTCAAACTCAGCACAAATGCAGATGAATACATACTAATACAGGAGCAGCTTATTGAATTATGCACCAATGAGTCAAGGATACAATTTCTACTTACAAAAACAGATCCCAATTTTATATCCAGCATTATGGGTTATTTCCACTAATCTCGCCAGTCTCCAGTAACACATAAAAGTCTGAATATTTTCAGCTGATCGTGAAAGTCACGTATTCCATCTTCTTTTGATATTAATAGAATCCTCATTTATTTTTATATTATTCTCTCTATTTTCAGTTCGAAATGTTTCAAGGAAAGGCTCAATCATGTTCTTATCAATAAACGCATATATCATATAACTTTTTCCTCTAGGGGAATATAGAAATCTAGACAAATTATTCGATTTTTTCCATAGTGAATAAACGATTTGAATTATTTTATTTACCTCGATTATTCCTATTAGGATCTCGCACCTTTGAGGCTCTTTGTACGCATTATATAACTTGCAAAAGTTGTCTATAAAATTTTAAATACGGTAATATAATGAAATAAGCTACGAGTTTAGAAAAAAATCCCCAAATATCATTTTTAACTGTACAAATTTTGTATAGCACAGTGGTAAAGAATATGTGCAACATGGACCAATTAATGAACTTGAAACTAACAATGTATCGTAAATCAAAGTGAATACCTACTGCCACGAGTAAATGAGAAAAATGCATTCTAATATGAAACAAAATAAAAATCGTATTTTGTCGGTCGGTATTTTGTCGAGGTTACCAGAAAACCGCACCAAGAAGAAATAATTTTCTAATTATCAATTGCTTTGCAACCCCCACATTTTAGCACTGGGTTTGTAAAGTTCATTCAAGAATACGCTTGTTAGGTTGAAGGAAACGGATAACATGGTATTTTAAAACACAAAAACGTTCTATCGTGTTAAAATTTTTAAAATAAATTCCTCTAGGAATTATAAACAAACTAATAGAAATATTTATTGAATTCCTGAACTGAAAGAAAAACCCAAAAAACCCCAAAAATAAACGGAAAGTTGATTCAAATTTTGATACTTAACTTGTAAGCCAAATTGAAAATTGACATGGAAAGTATATAAATAAATAAATATGAAACTCTTAATCATTTTACTCAAGGATCATGGAGCTGACAGATTGAACTGCCTTTTTTGTAACACCCTGTATACGCAATCATTATGGCGGTACATCAAGTTGACTATTCCCCATTTCGGTTCTTTACATGTAGCGCTTTCATTTCAAAACAAACCACCTTAAATTTCTTTAAATTTGAAGAAATATTCAAAATATAAAAAATACTTCAACTTAGATAAGGAGCGGATCTTCTATGACATATTTAATTTAATTTTAAGTCAGCCCTAACCACCATTCCAAAATTCTTCTCCAAAAAACGACCAAAAATTAAAATAACACCATTATCAAGTAGCAAACTCTTTTATATAGAATAAAATTCTATATCCAATCAGGTGGGGAAAAGAAAAGGACAATCGAATGATCGGTTCAGGAGTTAGAAGAGAAAATGAGTCGTCATATTAAGAAATTTGTGATAATTTTTTTTGTGGATAATGTCCTCCGTTATTTGCTAGATGATTGACATTCTACACGAATTACAAGTTTCCCTGCATTATCGCGATCTTCGGTTCTTCCGTTCTTGTAGAGGGAGTTTAATCAGCAACTGTTTTCAAATGTTCCCGTCGGATATAATAGGTGGATGATATGTTCATGAAAATGGCGATACGGCTATCCAGTTAAACTCAATTTCCGCGCAAAGGCAACTATTTGGTAGGAATTTTGGGAAGCAAAATTATCAATGCAAGTCCCAAATGTTTAGAATATAACTTTGCTACTTGATGAAGGAAATCTCCATTTCCATCTGGCTGAAGCTTGAGATCATTTTGCTTTACCCGTTACAGAGTGGTTAATCACTCATATCCCGGAAATAAATTGGTAGAAATGGTCCAATACAATTGCCATCTAGATCTGACTTTTCCAGACGTTCTGCTATGAAGTCATTTGAAAACAGTTGTTTATAAAACCCCACCTAATAATGTGCAAGAACTGAATAATCGAATTTCGCGAGAATACAGCCGGATTTATCCTGAAATTGTCGTCTCAATGTTCGTGAATAATTTTCAAACAGGCTTTTCTATTGTCTAGCGAATAACGCGGAAATTTTCAGTAACTCATAAAATAAATCAATAAATTACCTGAAATATATTTCAATATTTTTATCTACTTTAGCCACAAAGTAAAACATGCGTCTTTCCAAGCCATTCATCCCTGGAAAGGTTTGGTAAAGTATCTCCATCCGTGTTTAAGAGTTATCATTTTATATTCCTTAAATTAAATTTTAACACTCTGTAATCTGTAACGAAGCATTTTTAGACTATCGTTTATAAAGCAAATGAGGGTTATTTTCAGACGTTGAATACGTGGTTAAAATAATGCCCTTCCTCATGAAACACCTTGAATATGACACAATTTCTCTTATAAATCCTGAACCGACCATCCGACTTTTACTTTATTTTTTGTATTTTTTATAATTCTACAAATTGAATAGATATTTTTAAAGAGGTTCTGTATCTATTTTCTATTGTAAACGCGTCTATTTTTCTTCCATCACAAGCGAAATATGTTAATTATATGTAATTAATATTTTCTTGTTTTTTTTCCAAGTTTTCAATCAGAGAAGAGGAAGCAGCCACCTGACTATAAGCAACAGAATATCTGCTAAACCATTTTCTACCCATTTTTCTGCAGTCAGCAATTAGTATCGGAACTGAAAAGAAATAATTGAAAATGAATGCTAAACAAACACCTGTTACGCCTAGACCGTCCTTGCTTCCAAAGGTAGAATACAAGCATAAATGTATCAAATGTGAATCAACATTCAAAAATATGATTTTGCTCCAAAAGCACACCTGTAATGAAACAGAATCATCTTTGAACTGTCCAGTGTGCCTTAAGCAGTTTAATGATATCGCATTGCTAAATACGCATAAAAAATGTCACGCAAAGTCCAATTTGCTAAAAAATGCTAGTCCGATAAAGATGAACTCGAAGAAAACCATTCAAAAATCATCGACAACTAACAACAAAACCCCAATGAAATTGATTGACAAAACTGTTAAATGTAGAGAATGTTCAAGAGCATTTGAGTCTGATGAGAAATTATCTAATCATGTGAGAAGCCACAAGTCACTTGTTTGTCCTTCATGTGCTACTTCGTTTTCGTCTAAAATCTTACTCGACAAACATCGTACAATGAACTGTGTCAAAGTCAAAAATGCCAAAGCACGTATATCATTTTCTGTGCGAAGGCCGACTGTGCACACTCCATCTGGGAAATCACCATCATCAACGATATTGAATTGTGAGAAGTGCGAAGAGAAGTTTACCACGTTTTGCAGTTTATACACTCATAAAGTGCAAGTTCATGGAATGGATACTCCGGACAAAAGTCTTCTGACTGAAACCAAAAAAAGTAATTTGAAAACAAAACCTGTTCATGGGGGAATTCCGCCGAATGAGCGCTTAAGAAAGGCATACGACAATCTTAGGAAGAAACTGATCGAAGCCGGTGACATAGTAGTCAAATAATTAAGTGCATACATTATATTTTACTCAGATAACTTTTTAAGAACGTGTAATGATATCTATAATCTTTATTGTAATTATTTTTTAATTTTATTCATTTCCAACTAGCACGGTGTAAAAGTTTTAAAGCGTAAACTGGAGAGGTTTGGTCACATAAAAGACCCACATCGATTGAGAAAATGTCACACATCGCTAGATTTGAATATTTCGTTGGCCAGTAGTGGTGGTTTATATTAACAGTGGCCAATAGGATAATTTGTAGGAGAGAAAGGTGTTTAAATTTGTCCTGTACAGTAGTTCTAGTAATGCAATAAAATATTATATACCAGTGTCATGGTGTGAATTTTATTACTTGATATGGAGTTTCCTAAAAAGTTTCAGATCAAGGAAAGTGTGTGCCAAAACTTTAAATGGTTTTCTTGGATCAAATTATCGTTTAGTCCCATCAAGGCTTAATTGTTACTTATGAGTACTGTCTTCAGTTCAGTAAAGGGAATTTACACTTTTTTATGGTTTTTGTAAATAGTTGGTTTTTCGTTTTTGGTAATTCACTAACGACCACATTTTCCTCTCAGAAGAATCAGTTTTTTGTGTAATAGGCAATACATTAATTATGTAGAAGATTTTCCTTGTTTCTCAAGTCTCTACGAAGAAAATAAACTTTATGCATATTCGACATTAATGTCCGAATTTATGTTAGTTAAATGGTGTTCGCGTAAGAAGTATTTCTGGTAGAAAGTGATGGTTTATTAACAATATATCTAGATTATGATTATAAATTTGTCTTCTGTTTTGCTTAAAAATTACCTAATATGGTATATCGAAAATCTGCAAAAACAAATTAACAAAATGAAAAAAACAACCATTGTGGAAATAGCAATCGTAACAGATAACAGTGTAATAATAATTTCGGAGAATTGGCATTTTGGAATAAAGAAAACAGATGCAGTGCAAAAATAGAAAATGACCTGCTTTAACTTCAATTCTCTGGTAAAACTCGAACACGTGGTGAACGCTTACTACGGAGGCTAAAAATAATTCAGATGCTTCACCTAGATTTCCGTTTTGAGACTAATGAAATGTGCCGCTTCCTCCCAATTAATTCGATTAGGGTTTCTGCATATGGAGCGTTTGAAAGAAAACGAAAATAACTAAAAGCGCACGTGAAAGGCGAATAATAATAAAGTAACAACATTTGAAAATTTGGCTCAAAAGATGTCAGTGACGGCGATCTTGAACTTGGAATTTGCCAATTCCTCCACACCTGAAAGTGTTATTTGCCTTAATAATCAAGATGTAGTTTTTATTTAATTTCGCAAATCAGTTTTCAATTGATTATCATGTGACTTTTGGTTGCGTTGTGCCCAAAACTAAATATCTGATCCTTAAATTCACGTAGATTTTTCAACTTTTACGAAATGTTTGTGGTTTGCAACCATTTTGCATGCATGATCGTGAAATATAAGGGAGAAAACCAGATTTAATTATGATGCACGCTTAAAAAGCGTTTATATTTAGCAATATTTCCGATATTTCATATGGTACAAAGATATACTAGACAAATATTTATCGCATTTAGCACTTTTGTAAATACTTACAACAAAAACACCCTATCACGTTTTGGTATCACACTTATTCAACAAATCATACCACTTTTATTTAACAAGTTGATTGGTGTTAGAACAGGCTTAATAGTATGTACTCCTAAATAGTAGATCGCTCGATACAGAAGTTAATCAAAAAATTGAGTCGTTAATAGATTACGGCAAAATTTCCAATTTGTCAGCATCAGATAAATGCTGATGTCGCTGAAGCGCAATAAAAGTTTTCGATAATATTTTACATAACTGAAAGTAATTGAAATTGACACGAGAATTATAAATAAAAAATATACAAGGTCTTCAGTTAGAAAAAATGAAAATAGTAGTTTTCCTGGCGGATTGACACCCTCGACTTCGTCTCAGGTGTAAAACCCCGTCACCGTTCGAAAAACGACACTTTTCGCCCTTGTATCGTAAACGTATTCGATTGAATTAAACACTACCATTTTTCGATCAGAAGCCATGATAGTAAAGAAGCACTTTTCTTTACGGTTCATTTGTTTTACTTTGAAGCACATTGCGCACAAAAGTAAATGTGTCAAATTGAACGTGTGTCACTGTCATTATATTTTTTAAAGTATTTGCACTAAAAAGAAACCGACGTGCTTTGTAATTAATTTCGTAGGTTTATCGACAACTATTGATCATAATTTAAAGTGTACTTACAATTTCAAACGTCAAAACGTGACAATTTCAAAAATGGCATTGACATCAAATTTAAAATATGAAGTTGATGCTTTCTATTTTTGGTTATTCTGTTTTATTGTAACTGATGATTCGTGTTATGTCTTTCATTCGAATAAAAAATATGGTTTGATACGAGGACGAAAATCCGTTTTACGCACGACGACGCCGTTTGCCACCCGAGACAAAGTCGAGGGTGTCAATCGGTCAGTTTTTTCGACATTCCCACAATCTTGTGGGATCTATCTTGTATCGAAAACTACTATTTTGTGTATCTACTGCAATTTTTATAACTCATACTACCAGTTTCAAACTTGCCTTAAAACAAGCAATACTTTGCTTAAGCGTAAACTTACTTTACCCTATTGGTGCAAAAGATGTTTTCCGATGATTGACATTAATATATTTAACGGAAATTTTTTTATTGTTTTATTTTCGAATTCTGCATGAAATTTGAAATATACCTAATAGGTATCTATGTCTTTCAGCTATTTTGCAATGTTCCCTATTTGCTGAAAAATATTAAAACCACTGTACTTTGGGAAACTAATGAAAGTGAATGTGTAACATTGAAGATTTGAAATAAATCTTAATTTTTAACTAAATCTTGTTTTTGCAGTAAATCTGGTGCTCATGGAAATGTTACTTAACAACTTTTAATCTCCTAATCATGTTAACAATTCTTCTTTCATGTGCTCTGCTGTTCTGTCCTCTGCGATGGGAGAGTCCAGTAGCGGACCTTCGGCGTCCTTCAATCTTGCCCTGGAGTATCTTTTGTAAACGACAATATTTATCACGCCTCAAGACGTAGAAGGCAATATATGTTATATTTATGTTATGTTTCCATGTTCAAAGTTTTTAAAAACAAGAATACTAAACCATCGATTGTAAAAGTTCTTAGCCAAATGGAAGTAGAGGCCGATCTTGCAAGCACATGTGAGCCATAGAAGATAAATACGGGGTCATTTTTAAAACCGCAATTGTTATTTTCCAAATGATTTCGATCGAAAAGGACTTGGGAAACAGCAGAAATGGACATTTCACATTTATTCTTGGGTGAAACGTCCAAGCAAAAAGTATCTCAAACGAAATATCTTCGATGTTCAATGAAGAACAAGTCTACTTCCAAATCAACAAATAGGTACTTAGATTAAATTGACAAAATAATTAAAATCAGCGAAGATTTTGCACGCGTAACTATAGTTCTTAAAAACGGACAGTGGAAGTGATATGAAGAACATTTCCAAGTTGTTAAAGTTTTAGAAAATCAACAAACAGCGGCACAAATTAGGATTTTTATGTCTGATAAAAGACTGCAACGACGAGCCGGCAAAATAGAGGTGTAATCGACTGCTATCGCCCGAAGAAGAAATATACTATATTCCAGGTGGCAAAGTGCAATCTGGCCGACCAATTAACATGAAGATAAAATTCAGAAAATGATCCATAACATTCTTTAAATATCAATTTAAATCAACCGTTGGAAAAAAGACATCAAAACACCAAAGCACTTAACTTAATTGTAAGATTATTACATACATATATTTAATGGTACATAATTACATACAATTAAAGTACACATTTTATATTTTTTAATCGTTAGTTTTGTAGTAGAACTGTGTTTTTTTATTGTTCGAATAAAAACCTAAGTTTAATAAAACAACTTTTTAATGATTTATTACAGATTAAAATAGAATTATAGATACTTAATCATGTTTTCCCATTTTAGTTGGAAATCGAGGGGGATTTATTTACGCATTGTTCTCGAGTCTTTGGAGAAGATCTAAGTATGTACGTCTTCACGCACATTTTGTGTAAGGCATTTTGGCTCTGTGTAAGAGACCAAACAAGGACGCTTTTTGAAATACGCTTCCCAGTGAATTTTTCCTTTTTCAAAACAATCAATGTACTTGTAGTGCACTGGTTTATTATGCTGGAAACTTGATCAACATAAAGTGTCCCCCCGGAAGGCAAACTGAAACTTAACCCCCCCCCAAACCTAAAGTAACCTATTGAAAGGAATGCCACACATTTTCAATCGTCCTGTATTTTCTACAAAATTGTATTCTGAAATAATATCGCAGTAGTAGTAGTAAATATATACAGGGGGTCCCGTAAGCCCACGATCAAAAGGATACTGCGAGATTCTTTACATCAAAAGAAAACGATCTGACCTAACTTTTATTTACAAAAAATGTCTGGTTCCTCTGCTATTGAGGATTTTTCAAATTTTTTTTTATATCGGCAGTATGTTTTTTAAATATGAGTTCTCCATAAGAACAAATTTACAGCGAGTTTTACCAAAATAATTTGACCATCAATAGCAAAGGAGCCAGACATTTTTTGTTAATAAAAGTTAGGTCAGATCGTCTTCTTTTGATCCAAAGAATATCGCCGTACCCTTTTGATCATGTACTTATGGGACACCCTGTATATTCGAATTACGAAAGGGCTATCGATCCCTATCGCCTTTTCTGCCCGGTGATAATATAATATCTAGTCTTTTTCTCGGCCAATGCAATAGGTATCTGTTATTTTTTAAATAGTTGGTTTCTTTATAGCACTGAGTTGCCATTTTTTTCTTTAGACGAAAACGCTTTGGACATTATACAGTTTCTAGCGCAAATATTGGCATTTAACTGAGGAAAACTATAAATAGTAAAGGATTTGCACAAATGCGATGAAGCAAAACATATTTAAAAACGCCTCGGAGTCTCTTATAGAGGTGGCTTTAAACCCTGAGCCTTAGGGGCAACCGCAGAAAAAATTAGATGAGAAGATGGTCGAGTGAAGTCTCATTTGTCTCATTATCCAAAGTTTATTGCTTTGCTAAATGGCGAGTGCGTCAAAAGAATTTACTTGATTTAAGTAATTTAATCCATAACTGCGACTTGAAGGCGTCAACGGCTTTTAATAGAAAACATCTCGAAAGAAATGTCGTACATAAGTATTTATATTCAAGAACTAGATGCAAAATGTGTAGTTACTGGATCAGATTGCACGCTATAACATGTTCCAGACTATCGCGTTTTTCACTAACAAAAGCGTT